CGTGCATTTAGACGTGACTTGCAGAATGCTTGCCAAACCCCCTGTCAGCTAGGAAGTGTTGCAGAAGGGAAAAGCAGAGATAGCTGAGGGGGGAAGTGAAGCAAACCAGCAATGTCTGCGTAAGACAAATCCAGAATCCCCCCCGATGCCAATCGGTGGATGGACAGAGCCTCAACCAAATGTTGGTTCAGTTATTCCCCACATTGAAGGTGGAGGGCAGCAGCTCCCTGGGTATCTGTTTATTCCAGCACCCTCTGCCTTTGAGTGTCTCAGACCTTGTTACGGGCGAGATAAGGGTATGGAAGAGGGGTAGAAGCAAGAGCTGCTGCTCTAATGCAGCTAGATTGCAGCTTTCTTGCCTTACCAAAATTGACACCTAATCCAAGTCTCAGCCTGACAAAGTAGAAGGCTTCCTGTCCCTTATCTTCTGGATGATGTGATAGCGTGGCCAGCTACAGGGCGAGAGAACGTTTGCAACAGGGAAGAACATACTGCAGCTGTATGACAGGGTAGCTGATCTGACCACCCGATACGGCAATACATGCAGTGTGGCGTGGAAGGTAGTTTCCTGCAGCATAGGTGTATTGCTGTTGGCCAGAGTTTGCTTTAAGAGACTGGGCCAGTGGAGGCTGGTGGGGAGTTCTCTCTCTCTCTCTCAACCCTTTTTACTAAAACAAAATTTAAAGATAGCTGCTACTCCCCTTTCTCTTCTCCCATGTCCCGGGCTAGCAGAGGGCCAGAACTCAGGTCTTCCCGTTCTTGGAGCCCCAATGGCCGTCTCCCTTTAACAAGAGCCCCCTTTCTATGGGTGCTAGGTGGGTTGGGATTGTCTGCATGCATAGCATCTACTTAGCCTTGACGCGAAGCCAGCGATTGGCAGAGCAGCCTTCTGCTGTTTTCTTCCCTTCTGAACTGAATCCAGTGCTGAGAGGAACGCCGTTCCAAGGAGTAATCTGAAGCACAAATGTTTTTTTACAACCCCAGCACCCCCTCCCCGCCCTCCCTTAATTTTCTTAGTGCTCGATGTCGATAAAACCTGCACTGAGCAAAAAAGCAGCCCAGGATTCAGCAACTGCATTGCAACTCGCTGGACTGTTTAGGCCTCCTGCCAGTATCTCCATCAGCAGCCGGAATTCAGGCATTTTCCTCTTCAATCCATTACTGCTGAGTCCACTTATGTGTCTCACTTATATGCTCCTCCTTCTCCTGGAGGCCGGTGGGTTGGCAGCTTAGGGTATGTCGCAGCAGCTGGAGTCTGGGTTCTGAGACCCCCCCCGTCCTCACTGGGTTTTATACAGGCAGTCCCCGACTTACACGGATCCGACTTATGTCGGATCCGCACTTACGAACGGGGCTTTCTCGCCCCAGAGCTCGCAGGCAGCGGTCAGCCACCTCGACCTCCGGGGCGAGAAAAGCTGCTCCCGGTGCCCCTGGTCT